TTAATAATAATAATAATAATAATAATAATAATAATAATAATAATATCTTCATATAATTTTTGCATTGAAAGGTGCTGACAACTGACATTGCTGGAGTTAGATCTGAATGGCAATGTAATGACACTTGTTGTGCAGGTAAACCTTAATTATTTGATAAACTGATCGTATTGATTTCATAAGAAAATTATGGATGACGCATAGGAACACGTGATCTTCATATATTTTTGCACACTTTGGACACCTAAAGGTCTGTGTGAAATACACGCTAGAAAATGTCCAACAGTCATATTTGTACTTATTTTCCATGTCTACATATCCTGCAAAGTTATCTCAATTCATCGAACATTAAAACCTATCATTTAGATCCTTGATGTCATTATATTCGTTTTTATATGTACAGGGGTACGTGTATTGGTCTGTCATTGTAAGATTTATCAACTGAAAGGCAAGCCGTGACTTCAGCCAGAGTGTTAGTGTGTCGCAACTGTCACATCTTAAACCTCCTTTTTGTAGCAAAATGTGTTCCTTTTCAGGAGCATTTTCTCTTGGGTCGAAGAAATGTGAGAAACTGCGACCGTGTTCCGATACAGGACAATATATCATTCGAGCTGGAAATGAGACACAGGTAATTACAGTGTATTGAGCATACCGTGCTGACTGGTGTTTTAAGTTAAGACTCATATATTCAACTTGTCCTTCAGACTTTACAAGTAATCATTATTAATGGTGAAGGTTGTCACTTCTATCATCAAATAATTCAAATTCGCCCCGCCTTATTCTTGCCTGTATTATATCGTAAAAGAATTATTTTCTTTTTAGATTACATCATTTTGTTTTCTAATCAATTTGTTTTCCTTTCATTGTAATTTGTATTTGTATTTAACATTGTTAAGTCTATTGAATATGATGGATTTCAGAATGCACATTATTATTATTATTATTATTATTATTATTATTATTATTATTTAGGATAATAAATGCTGGTGTGATGAGGGGAAACGTTTTTCACCAATAAGACCCAAACTATGTTGGGAGAAAAGCGAAGCCTGTGGTTGCTTGCAGTGTCCAGAGGGAACTAAACCAGACCTAGTAGACAGTAAGCATGTTATTTATTTGTGACAAGTTTTTTTTTGCCTGATTACTGTCTGTCTAGCTGTGTAACGGTTTAATGTACATTCAAGTAGTAGATATATCACTTACTACTAGTCTTAGGCAAAGGAATAGATTTACATCTAAGTCAGATGTTTATAACATTGGGTTTATTTATTTATTTTGATTTCTCATAATAAGTTCGATTGATATTGATGATTAATAATGTTAATTATAGACACTTGAGTTATTTGCACATCTTTTTGCTATAGAGAATGGCCAATATGTTGAGCATTTCGACAAAGACAAACATTGCAAGCGTATGTGGTAGGTACACAGAGTATTTGAATTTCAATATTTAGTTTTTTCTGCATATCCTTCTGTATGTAGGAAAGACTGAAATATAAAATATATTCACACAAATAGATGTACACTTTTTATACTGATAGATCCGTAATTGACGAAGCTATGCATGGGTCACAGCCCAAAGTAAAATGTGCAAAAGTTGTACGTCGACGTCGTAATTTGCAGATAAGGTATACGTGTTAAATCTATCACACACAATGTCGGCAATATTGTCATGTTTGCAATTGCAATATATGACCTTGCTATAAAATGTGATTTCCCGACGTCTCTCTCAAAGAAAAAAAGCAAAGTTTATCCACAGCAGGGTATAGACATTTTTTAACGTGATAATACCATAAGTCAACGCTACTAGTACTGTTATTGTTATTGCTATTTTGGCCTATTAAGGTAGATCGATACGGTAGAATTTTTCTTTGTCTGCTTGGAAAATGCGGAAATAAAGGTTAGTTTTTCATGAGCTGATGCATTCGCATCAGAAATACATGTACATTGGGTTGAATTTGTTTACTCAAGCAGCATTTTGGGGCGAAAATATAATAATATAGATTTCCAACAGATATAACAAACCTGAAACACTAACAACATCGTGTTAACATCTATTTAATCACAGCAAAACGTACTACGATCTGGCGCCAGAGAATTCTTTTGAAAGGTTGACATCTAACTACATCAGCAAAGAAACGAAATATAACGCCTTCGTTCAATGGAACACCTTGATTTGGGGGTCATAAACTCCACACAAAACAATTAAATCCAAACGCTGGCACCAGTGCAGTTTATCGTTTACACCCTAGTACCTAAGTTATATTAAAGATGCATCTCTGAAGATCTACTTTACATATGTAATATGTAATCCAAACTTTAGGTCCCTAGACCTTCTTCAGGGACTATCATTGATAATGGGCCAAAAACTATGAAACCGTCATTGGCGTTTTTGTCCTGAAAATGCAAATATATAATGTTACATACTGGACATGGGGCCTTTGCTAAAAGGACATGAATTTAGTTTTATTTCTGTAGAAGATAATATTCATTGCACACAAAGCCCATAAGATATTTTATTATTATAGATTAAGAACAAACGAAAAATTTTTGATGTATATTCGATAACTTGGATCATTCTGTCTTAACCATGTATATGCCGGATTATTTGTGAGAGTTGGTGTAATCGTAGCATTTATTTCTTATCGGATGTATCAAATATCGATACACTTTGTTATCACATTTGATCACAAAATTTCTTTTTGCTTTTCAGCGAACCTACTGGCAACAGAATTGGGGATGGGATTGGTATTGGGATTGCTATTAGTATTGGTGTTTGTAAGTTTTCAATGTGAAACAGCACGTGGAACTTACATTTGCATTGTATCTATCAAATATGGTTCCAAAGGTCCCAGTACTATTATCCAAAAGATTTAAAAAATATTACCCATTTAATTTTGTAAATGGTTTAGATATGAAATTTTCCTAATCGCAACATTTCAAACTTGTAATTTACATGTACTTAAATGACAATTAATTATTAAAGCAAACAACCGGCTATAAAAGCCTTATTTAGTCTATTTTATATGTTGTCTTTTTTAGTTTTTGTTGTGTTGTTCATCCCATGGATTTACTACTGTTGGCGTTACAGTAAGTAAATGTTTATAAACTCTAATTTAGTTAAACAAAGTTGGCGCAAAAACATACACAAATACACATCATTGAATCTTATGAAGTATACTCGTCATTATATATTTCCACTGCTCTCTATATATATATGCAACAACGAACGTTGCATTGGTTCGTGTGCGGTCGTACTTTTGACGTACAGGTAGTGTCTTGCTGTTTAAATGGTATTCAGTTTACTTTCTTTTCCTCTCTTCCTCTCTCAAATAACAACAACATAATCAGTTTTTTTTTCAATTTCATTTTATTCAGTCTTTTTTTGATCGAAAAAAGTTATAACTAAGCTAAAGTGCACACCTTTATTTGTCGACTCCATGTTTTATTAATGCCGGTTTTAAATAATCATAAATATCTTTCAGCATATCAGTGAGAGAAATTTTTATCAATGTTTTGCAGTCCTGCATGACATCAAAAACAGCTGTGCATTGAAATGCGTTTCAGGCGTAAATTGTTCTCAATGCTTCATATATTAACGGAAATTTATTCTTTTCCAGAAAAATGCACATTTCCATTTAAATTCATGACAAAAGGTGGGTATTCAACATCTTTACGAATGATCGTGTGTATTAAATTTCATTTATCGTACATAGTCATTTGACTGTAGAAACGCATCCTTACATCAGATCCATTAATATACATGTATATTATTTTCTTTATAACGCTTTTTAACTTCTGCGAATATTGTGATTATTGTGATATTTTTTATATTTGTATATATCACTGTATTGATGTGTTGCTTTTGCAGTTCCTTGTATATGCCAGTTTTATTGTAAATTTTGTATATATAAAGTAATACATAAATAATGTAATGTATGTATAAATTTGAGGTACTGCGTATTTTTACATTTCTATCTTTATACAGAGAGTCACAAGAACGAATTAAGTGAGGCACAATGTGAGTACTTCCCAACTGCACAACAGAGATATACAGAGGTCGATCATACTTGCTGTTTTGTCCAGTGGCTATATACAATGTAGTATTTGTTGATATACCGTGGTTTGCACATTTTCTCTTTTTGTAATAAGCGATTGGAAAAAAGAAGCACAAGTACATTTAAATTACACCTGAATCAGTAGTCAATTGGCTGTAGTCATCTGATCTATTATTAAATATTCTATTTTCATCGCCTTTAACTTGTACCAGCATTGTAATTACTGGTGCATATTCTTGACAATCTAAATATCACAGTATTTATGTGTTGCTTTTGCAATTCCTTCTTCAAGTCTATTAATTATGGACTGACTCTACAAATAATTGTCCTGTTTGCTGAACCATAATGTTCTTTCATTGCATTATACCTGTATGCTTTAGCAACAATACATTTAGTACCACCAGCGTGTACGCTCGCGGTACTCATGGTTTTAGTCCCGACCCGTATCGTATGGCTCCGCCGGCTCCGTGAGCTCTGCCGACTCCGCATGGTGGCGTGGGATACAAGTCACCGTTACAGCTTCTCTTCCTAGACCGCAAGGACCTGTGTTCCCATCTCTTGGATTTCGGTCACATATAATCTCAACTTGAACCCCCTGGTTATTTTGTCTTAGTTGGTGCATTCGCCTGGGCGTGACACTCGTTGAAATGCACCCTTGTCAATTTTTTTGAAAATTCAATGCTATATATCTCCCAAACGGAAAGAATTATGGGAAAATGAGTATAGAAGTCTGACCGAAAGTCATATATGAGGTTTTCAAATATGCCTTCGGATTTGACATTTGACCTTTTTTTCAAGGTCAAACAGGCCAAAATTTTCTAAAAATGGAAATTTTTATGCAAAGAACTTTTATTTGTGCCGAATTTCAGAAATTACATAGAGTTTAGCATTCATATTATAGTGAGAGGATGCAATTAGGGACTCTTTTCATCTTTGGGAGTTTGGGGTCAATCGGTGCATTTTCATGGGAGAAAAGGCCAAAAGATGCCGAAACTGAAAATTCTCCCTAATTCTGGAAACGTAAATGCTAGAGACCGCTTGTTTTTTGCATTATGTAGAGCTTGTCAAGCACAATACTGAAAGTGGTGTCCGTTTTTTTGTTTGCGGTACGGTCAAAGAGTTGCGCTATATCAAAAATCACAACTGTGTAATATTCATTGGTGAAAATAAAATGTGAAATACTCCAAAAGTTACTGAGATACACCCATAGTTACTATTAAACTTGAATAGGAAGTCATATACTGGCAATCTGTGACCTTGAAATTGACCCTCGACCTACTTTTCACCATGAACTGAACTTTGCAATTTTTCCATCCCTTATATCTCCAAAACTAGTAGATATAAACCCATAGTTACTATTGAACTTGAATGGGAAGTCATATAGTGGTAATCTAACTGTGACCTTGAATTTGACCTTTGACCTACTTTTCACCATGAACTGAACTTTGCAATTTTTCCATCCCTTATATCTCTAAAACTAGCAGATATAAACCCATAGTTACTATTGAACTTGAATAGGAAGTCACACCCTGGGCATCTAACTGTCACATTTAAATTGACCTTTGACCTTCTTTTCACTATGAACTGAACTTTGCAATTTTTTTCTTTCACTTATATTTCCAAAACTGGCAGAGATAGGCCTATTTCTTTCTTTCAATATATATGCAACACTGATAATGCATTTCAAAGAAAACTGACAGGCCTATTGTCTTGAAAATCGGCTTGATCAGATGATTTTTATAAAAGTTGTGCTGTTTTTTATTTTATTTTATTTTATTTTATTTTATTTATTTTTATTTTTTTTGGGGGGGGGGCATATTTCTTGTCTTGTTTATTGCATTTTGAAGAGCTCGTCAAACACAACACTGGTGGTTGTTCCTGTTTGTTTTTGGTTTTCCATACAAATGCGCTTACTCCAGCTGGTGGTACAATATCCGGATGCGGTATCGCCTCTCTGATCCTCTAGTTTAATCATTGTTCCTTATTTATTTATGTTATATTAGATCTGAGTTTTTTTTTTTTTTTTTTTTTTTTTTTTTGAAAAAAGAACGCATTTTACCTAGGCATACCTTTGAGACTGAAATATTCCATATTAAATGTCGAGTATGTAATTATTACAATCATGATGTTTTTTTTATTTCAAACAAAAAATACAAAACACTCTCACACCCATATATACATACAAGCTCTAAAGGTACTTAACTGTTGAATTTCCTATCCACAAAAATACTTCCTAATTTTTTCCATTTTTTAATAAAACCATCATTATCCATATATTTGCTATAAGTAAAATAGTCACTTTCCATATATTGATTAATATAACTTTTTACTTTCAAGAAATCTGGGGCACTTTTGGTTATTTTCTGGCAATATATAAATTTTTTAACCAAACAAATAATTAAATTTAGCAAACTTTGTTCTTTTCCAAATATAATGTCAAAACAGTTTAAACTTTCTTTTATATTTAAATCATTTTCTAACCATTCTCTTACTCGTTCCCAGATTTCTGAAATTTTACTGCATTCCCAAAACAAATGAACTCCTCTTTTATACAAAATACACATAAATTTGATTCTACTACATTTATCCGAAATAAAAAAGAATTTGTTCCTAAGATTCTATGGACCAGTCGATATTGAAACCATCTAAGGCTCATATCATCCAATTTCTTAATCAAGTTATTCTTTTCCATCCACCATTTTTCATCGTGGTACACATTCAACTCACTTTCCCATTTTATTTCACATTTTGGTCTAAAATACAAGCTAGTAACAAAGGTATCGTATATAGGTCTTACTCCCTTTTGATTTTTCATCAGAACCTCTAGAAATTTTGGTCTAAACGGAATATTCATACAGATATCAATGTTTTTCTTATTTCTTATCATTTTCTCGATACATTGTACAATACCCTAAAACATTGTGCATGGTGGGAAGAAATTAAATTTACTACAAAAACTGGCATAATTTAAACAGTTATTATTTTCATCTACAAAATCAAATACACGTACTTTTCCTTTCTCATGCCACTTCTTGTAATAAATTGTTTTACTACTGATTTTAATCATGTTATTAAACCATACCGCTTGACAAAACTCTAAATCAGCCTTATCAATTATTTGTCTTAACTGATATAATGCTAAAATACATCTTTGCAAAATCTATTGGTGGTTTTCTTTTCAATGTGCTTTATATATTCCTGTCCAAAATTCACAAGATCCATGAAATTGTATGATAATGTATCTAGCAACAATTGATGCCATGATGTTGTACTAATACAGCCCATCATTCTTCTCAACCACGACATTTTCGAGCTATCAATAAACCATTTAACTGAAGTCATACGTAGCCCACCATGCTGGTAATCTTGAATTAATGTATTTCTTGCTATTCTATCCTTCTCATAGTTCCATATGAAATTAAAAAATGCACTTTCTAAATCCTTTATATGTTCTTCACTTAAATTTGGTAGGCTTATAAACAGATGTGTTAATTTAGACAGCATTATTGATTTAACTACAGTAATTTTTCCTATAACACTTAATAGTCGCCTTGACCAGGACTTTATTAATTTTTTAATATCCTTTACCTTGTTTTCAAAATTTAATTCAACCATGTTAACCAAGTCTACAGTAAAATAATTCCAAGAAAAGTAAACGGTTCTTGGGACCATTTGATTCCATAGTTTACATTAAAATTTCTAACCGTAAATCTCAATGGTCCAATTTTAATACAGCATGTTTTTTTGGTAATTTGGCTTTAAACCGGAAAACTTAGCAAATTGGTCTATTAGTGAAAGTGTGTTTTTAATGACTTTTCTGTTCCATCCAACAATATTGCAGTATCATCCGCATACTGCATTATCTTATATTCTTTATCTTTAATTTGAATGCCCTTGACTGTTCTACTTTTTCTAAACATAGCACCCATTATCTCTACGCATAACAAGAATAAGTATGGTGAGATCGGATCCCCCTGTCTACAACCACGATATATTTTTAAAAAAAGATGAGGCAATGCCACCCTGAATCACACATAGCTTAAAATTAGTAAAAAATATATCAATCCACTTCTTTATATTTTCCCCAAAGTTGAAAAAACTTAAGACATTTCTAATAAAATTCCAAGATATTGAATCATATGCTTTCTCAAAATCGACCATTAAAACTAGGCCTGGTATGTTATTTTCATCGCAAACATGTATGATATCATATAAAAGTCTTGTGTTCTCACCCAAACATCTACCCGCCATAAAACCCTTTTGATTTTCGTGTATTAATTTAGGGAGAAACGGTTTGATTCTATTATCAATTATTCTAGATAAAATTTTGTAAGTGACGTTTAATAGACAAATCGGCCTCCAAATTTTTATAAATTCCCTTGGTTTGTCTCCCTTGGGTAGAATTGAGATTTTTGCATTGGCGAAAGTTCACCTTTTTGAAAGGTCTCAATAAATGATCGATGCAGAAAATCGCCAATGTCAACCCAGAAAAAATTAAAAAATTCAGGAGAAAAACCATCACATCCAGAGGCTGAATCATTTTTACATTTTCTTAGAGACTGTAACACCTCATTTTAAGCAATGTTATCCTCTAATTTTGATGACTCAGAATTAGATATTTTTGAATTTCTAATCCCTCCATTAATTCATCAATCCCAACATTCTCCA